AGGGCTGTCTCTGTACACTGCACCCGTACTACTTCATTAACCGCTCTTCCCAGCTAATGAGCACACAGCTCACAGTGTGGCAGCAAGCCCTGTGGCTCACACGTGGCCTGCAGGCACCTGGGAACCTTGAGGACTGCTGACCCATAGCCCCAGGACATAGGGGGCCACAGCTGGGAAATGCTTCTGCAATCTAGCCACTTCTGCTAAGGATAACAAGAAATGCTTCTACCAATACATCAGTAGCAAAAGGAGGGGCAAGGAAAATCTCCATGCTTTGTTGGACATGGGGGGAAACATAATCATCGAAGATGAGGACAAGGCTGAGGTACTTAACACCTTCTTTGCCTCAGTTTTCAACAGTAAGACAGGTTGTCCTCAGGACAAGTGGCCTCCGGAGCTGGTAGACAGAGACAGGAAGCTGAATAGCCCCCCTGGAATCCAGGAGGAAACAGTTTGTGACCTGCTGTGCCACTTGGATCCTCACAAGTCTATGGGACCTGAAGGGATTCAGCCAAGGGCGATGAGGGAGCTGGCGGAAGAGCTCGCCAAGCCGCTCTCCCTCATCTACCAACAATCCTGGCTCACTGGGGAGGTCCCAGATGATTGCAAGTTGGGGAATGACACGCTGATCCACAAAAAGGGCCAGAAGGAGGACCCGGGAAACTGCAGTCCTGTCAGCCTGACCTCAGTGCCTGGCAAGGTGACAGAGCAGATCATCCTGAGTGCAATCACACAGCACCTACAGGATGGACAAGGGATCAGACCCAGCCAACACGGGTTTAGGAGGGGCAGATCCTGTTTGACCAACCTGATCTCCTTTTACGATCAGGTGACCCACCTGGTGGATGAGGGAAAGGCTGTGGATGTGGTCTATCTGGATTTCAGCAAAGCCTTTGACACTGTCTCCCATAATATACTCCTGGAAAAGCTGGCAGCCCATGGCTTGGACAGGGCACTCTGTGCTGGGTTAGGAACTGGCTGGAGGGCCCAGAGAGTGCTGGTGAACGGGGCTGCATCCAGTTGGGATCCAGTCACCAGTGGTGTTCCCCAGGGATCAGTGCTGGGCCCGGTTCTGTTTAACATTTTATTGATGATCTGGATGAGGGAATTGAGTCCACCATTAGCAAATGTGCAGATGACACCAAGCTGGGGGGGAGTGTTGATCACCTGGAAGGCAGGAGGGCTCTGCAGAGGGACCTGGACAAGCTGGATCTATGGGCTGATTCCAAGGGGATGAGGTTCAACCAGGCCAAGTGCCGGGTCCTGCACTTTGGCCACAACAACCCCCTGCAGCCCCAGGGCTGGGACAGAGTGGCTGGAGAGCAGCCAGGCAGGAAGGGAGCTGAGAGTGTGGAGGGACAGGAGCTGAACATGAGCCAGAGTGTGCCCAGGGGGCCAGGAGGGCCAAGGGCTCCTGGCCTGGCTCAGGAACAGTGTGGCAGCAGGAGCAGCGAAGGGGTTCTGCCCCTGCACTCAGCACAAGTGTAGTGAGACCACATTTTGAGTGCCGTGTCCAGTTCTGGGCCCCTCAGGTCAGGAAGGACATGGAGGGGCTGGAGCAGGGGCAGAGAAGAGCAGGGAGGCTGGGGAAGGGACTGGAGCACAAGTGCTGTGAGGAGAGGCTGAGGGAGCTGGGGTTGTTGGAGAAGAGGAGGCTCAGGGGAGACCTCAGCACTCTCTGCAACTCCGTGACAGGAGGGGGGAGCCAGGTGGGGGTTTGGTCTCTTCTCCCAGGAACCAGCAGTAGGACAAGAGGGCTCGGTCTAAGCTGTGCTGGGGGATATTTGGGTTGGATATTAGGAAGAAATTTTTCCAGAGAGAGTGCTCAGCCATTGGAATGGGCTGCCCATTCCTCTGTCCCTGGAGGTGTTTAAGGTGAGACTGGATGTGGCAACAGTCCCATGGGCTGGGAACCACGGTGGGGTTGGATCAAGGGTTGGTCTTGATGATCTCAGAGGTCTTTTCCAACCCAGTTGATTCTAGGATTGTATGATTCATGGTACTCAGCAGTTGCCTGGTGATTCCAGCATCACCAGTAGGAATGGCTGAGGCACAGCACCCTGGGCTTGGGGAAAACTCATGTCAGGGATGTCAGGAGTAGCAAGGTCACCCTGGGGACCTGCAGGGAAATCAGAGCAGGCCGCTGGGACTGGAGGGACACCCTGGGACCCTCTTCTCAGTTAATCCCAAATGCTGGAGACATGTTCTCGGAGGGCTTTGCAAAGATCCAATCATACTATTATTTCCTGATCTCTTATTTTTTTAGAAGTTTTGGGTAGCTGGACCCAGCTTTTTTTTTTTTTTTTTCATTTTTATAAAGGACAGGTAAATGGATGTTGGAACTAGATGATCTTTAAGGTCCCTTCCAACCCAAACCATTCTCTAATGAGTGCCCTGCCTGCTTTACATGCCATTTGCCATTTGAAATGAAGCACGTGCATTCCATGCTGGCACTGTACTTTGCCAGGAGCTATCAGCACTGTTTCCCAAAACCTCCTGGGAAAAGCAGAAGCCAACGTGAACGCCTTCCTATTTTCAACAGTCACCCAAATTCACAGAGTGCCGCCAGTTACGCGCCTGGGCAGCAGAGCCCAAGTCACCTGCTGGAGTAGAGTCATGCTGTGACACACCAAGGCTCCAGCTAACTCCCCATTACCTGAGGGCAGGTGAGGTGCAGTCAGCTGCCTGCTCAGCCTCTCCAGGCTCAGCCACCTCAGGCCTTGCAGCTCAACTCACCGCAGTGTGACTTTCCCAGCAGCCCCATGGCCGGGGCCCTCCAGGAGTCAAAGCCAGGTCATGCCCTGTGTCCCTGCATCCTACCCCGGCATGCCACAGAGAAGTCATTCTGGTTTCCTTTCCCTTACTCAGTGTCAGCAGACACTGCTGTCTCTGGGGACTGAGAAGGGGGTCCCTCCAACCCCTGCAGGCTCCCCTCGCTGACCCTGGTGGAGGTGACGTGCACCCCAGCTCAGCGTGGCAGCCCCATCACTGCGGGCTTGCAGGCACGGGAGGGCCGGGCCACCACAGCTTCCTGCCCACTGTGCCCTGCACTGGCAAGATTAAAGTCATTTCCACTGCCTCAGAACAGCTGTCACCCAGTGCTGGAGCCCCCCCGACCACAGCCCCCTGGCCGGGCCCTGCAGGGACTGGCAGCCTGTGCCGGTGGTCCCAGGCTAGTGAGAAGTTTACTCCTCTGCTTTATCATGTGTGCAGCACCTTCCCCCAGCAATAAACCACTGGGGCTGCACGCTGCCTAGGAAGGGGCTGCCACCCCTTTTTTGCAGCAAAAGCCCAGGGTAGGGTGCAGTGACTGAAGCATTTCCCATGCCGATGGAAAGGAAGAGAGGGCCATCCCATTAAACCGCTCCTTTGGGGCATATGCCAGCACAAATGGGGCAATTTACCCTGGGACATGTTTCACCCTAGCAAGATTCATTCTGCTGCATTTATTTATATCCACTCCCATCCAGCAGTGGGATTAAAGGTTAATTTCTGCACTCCTGCTGCAGCCAGCAGGAGCCATGTTGTAATCACTGTGTGAAACCAGGACTAGTAAAAGCAGCAAAATGAACCCCCATGGGCAGTAAGAGCTGTTTGCTTCAGGCAGGGACCAGGCTGGGGGTTAGGTGTGGTTATTCTGTAATTTCTGGGTGTCTCCTGCAGATCCTCCCCCCCATGCCCAGCAGTGCTGGGCACCTCCATTAACTGAAACTGCCGTGGCCAGCTCAAAATGCCTTCCATGGACATCCCAAATTTTCTGCTTGGAACTCTTTCAAGCTTCATGGACTTCTGCTCTCCTCCCTGCAAGGTTGGGTAGGAGCTCTGTAGGGTGGCAGCTCTCCTCCTGAAATGGTTTACACTCTTCTGTAAGATCCTTCAATTACAGAAGACTAAATGTTATTTAATTTGTGACCTCGGGTTGAATAAGACACAATTAAATTCTGCCTCTTGTGAATTTGCGATGGGGAATTCTCACCTGTGATGCCAGATGAATCCTAACTGTTCCATGCATGACTCAGACACCCAAACTGCTCCATTAATGACTGTTTTAATAAATGTTCTATCTTTATACGGACAATTTCCTGCCTTGTGACAAACCTGGCACAGAGTCAACCCAAACCCTTGGTCCCTGTGCTGAGGACAAAGGCAAACCTGGTGCTGCTGAGCATCCTGGGGGGCTGTGACACCCCTGGGATGTTCCTGGTCTGCAGGTCCTCCCAGCCCCCTGCTCTTCTCGCAGGTGGGGTAATGACCGTGTGCCCCATCCAGGGGGTTCAGCCCCTCACTCACCCCCAGCCCCCTCATTCGTGTCCCACCAAAGTTTCTCTCTAGATGAGGCCCCCTCAGCGCAGCAGGAGAAGGGAGCGGGTGTCCGGGAAGCCTCGAGACTCCGTCCCTTCCCTTCGGCAGGGCCAGAGCATTCCCCGCACCCTTCCTGTCCCCCCCACGCGCGTCCTCGGGGCACTGCGGGCGGGGCTGGGCGCTATCGGGGCTCTTATGGCTTCAGCTCTTATTTTCCTTCCATCTCTTCCCTGCCCCCGCTCCCGGAGCCCCCCTCTCCTCCAGCGGCCCCGGGAGTCCCAGCCCTTCCCCTCTCCCCCCGCACGCCGGGGGTCCCCAGCCCCTCGCCGCCCCCTTCCCGCGGGCTGTGCCGCACGCTGAGCCCCGTGTCCCCCTCCCTCCGTGTCCCGCTCCCCCCGTGTCCCCCCGTGTCCCCCTCGTGTCCCCCCGCGTCCCGCTCCCCCCCCGTCCCCCCGTCCCCCCCCGGGCCGGACCCGGCCGGCCCCGCCCTCCGGCGGGCCCCCCCCATTGGGTGCGGGTGAGGGGGGCGGGTCCGCTTTGTGACGTCACGGTCAGCTGTGGGAAGGTCCCGATTTGTGCGGGGGAGCGGCGGGCGCTCGGCACAACCGGGGGATCTGCTCGGCACAACCGGGGGGGCCGCTCCGCACCGACCGACACCGACAAAGGCACCGGCACCACCGGCACCGAACAGCACCGAACAGCACCGAACAGCACCGCCCCTGCCACCGCCCCCGCCCCCGCCCGGCACCGGCTCTACCTCAGCGCCTCCCGCCGCCCCGACACCGCCGCCACCGGTGAGTCCCGCGGGACGGGGCCGGGCCGCGGGGTGGGGGCTCAGCGGGCTCTGCCGCCCGTGCGGGCAGGGGGGTCCTGGGGGGGGGGTGTCCCCGGGACCCCCCGGCGCGTCCCCCCCCGCCTGTTGTTTGTTTCTTCATCACCGGATTAAGACTCGCGGCCGTTCCGCGCTCCCATTGGCTGCGCTGCGGTGACGTCGCCTCATTTGCATATGACATTGAGACGTCATAACTGTCCCCCCCCTGTCCCGCCGTGACCCCGCCGGGCCCGGGGGGGACAAGGGGGCACGTGGGAGGTGCCCACGGTGGCCACGCGTGGGTGGCCTCCCGTGTCCTTCCCATGCCAGTCGTAGCTGTGGCTTTTTCCCGGCAGGAAACGTGGATGTGTCCCCTCCGGGTTGTTTAAAGGATGTTTGGTTTTTTGGAAAAGGAATGCGAATGTATAATTATAAATATAATATAAATATATGTAAACATATAAAATATACGGAATGGTTTTGGGTTGGGAAGGACCTTAAGGATCATCATGTTCTAACCCCCTACCAAGGGCAGGGACACCTTCCTATACTATATAGTATATATTATTTACTATGTAAAATATAGTGTATATAACTTACTATATAATATAAATACGTGTGAAGAATGTAAATATATGCAAATCTATAATACAGAAATGTATTTTGTATTTAACTCATTCCCAGCAAATCCTTGGTGCTCTGGAATCCCTCAATCTTTAGCTCTTGATTTCCTTCATAAATCCCATGGGTTTTAATGATGTTTGGACGTTTGCTTTCATATTTTTATTGAGTTTAATTGTGATGCCTGGGAAGGGGCCAAGCATGGCAGGGGGAGGGTGCTGGCAGTGCCACACTGACATCTGTGCTGTGGGGCAGCTCCACCACATACCAGGATGCTGAGCCCAGGAGTCCATCAGGTACCACATCCGTCTGTTATCGCTGCCCTAAGAGCACCTGCTTTGGGACAGCTCAAAAATGGCATAAATCCTAAAAGGGCAGCTTCTGGGTTTAACGCCTCTCAGCTCAGCTGAGCCTAGCAGGCTCTGGGAACTACTCCTGCTTCCATCCAAGGGGCTCACTGTGTTAAAACTTGGACTCTGTGGAGAGTAACTGTAGAAATGTGTTAAAAAGTACATGATTGCTTTTTTAATTCTTTCATACATATGTCTTGAGTAGAGTGGAGCTACAGCCCTTCCCAGAGTGCCTGAGCAAAGGCACTGGCACCCTGGGATCCCAAAATATTGGTTTTAAGTGTTTTTTTGGGCCCAGCAACCTGCAGTGCTGAAGCTGCACCAGCGAGGGCTGAGCTGTGCAGGTGCCAAGCGCTGTCACTCATTTGGCCCAGGTTTTGCTGCGATAGGAAACCATCCCAGAAACCCTCCCAGAAGCAGGTGCTGGGCTCTGGGACAGGATTGTGCTGGACTTTCTTTCCCACCGGGCTTAGTCTACAAAGTGCCAAGAACTTTTTTTTTTGCTCTAAAATAAATCTTTCCTCTCCTTTTATTTTTCCTCCTCCCTCCAAAAAAACTCTGAACAAACACACAATGAAAAAAGACAAAAGCTGTCTGCTGTAGCTCACTGTCACTGTTAGGAACCTATTGCATCAAACTGGTGCTTATCTGGCTGAACACAGAGGGAAAAACATAATGGAAGTTTTTCCCCTGGATAATAAACCGATAGCACCCGGTCGTAGCACGGCTGGAAAAACCTGCAATGTGAAGTTGTGTCTAAGAGGGTTTTAGTGCTGACTGCACAGTGAGCCCTGCTCTGCAAGAAGGGTCCCAAGTGGGCTTGGGGGTAATGGTGGGGAGCTCGGTGCTCCTGGGGTGTCAGAGTTCAATGTGCCAGGTAGTTCTGCCTCTGTGATTTACGAGGGTGTAACGTTGGGCTGCTCCCCTCCCGGTGCTCCCCAGGATGCTTCACCTCATGCATCCCAGAGAGGAAACTTCTGAAGTTTCATAGGACAGCTCATAGCAAATCTAAAATTTCTTGGTTGCTCAGATCCTGCTGAACACTGACAGATTTTCCAGGACTGTGTGTGATGACATCAAACAGCACAAGGTCACTTTTGTCCTTGGGGTAAGCACCTTCCTGCAGCAATGACACTCGAGCTGATGCAAATGGGGACACCAGCTCCACGAAAACATATCCTGCCAGTTGTGCAGGGTCCCCCTCCTTCAAGTGTGATCTGGAGGAGCAGTGGGGAGTTCAGTCCCCACTGAGCTCCTGAACTGGCTTAGGAAAGCCCTTTCAGGTGCTGGCTTGGTCTGCCATTATTAAGAAGAGTCTCATGATTAAGAGGGTTTTTTTTTATTTTTTTTTTTAACTGCTCTCTGCTTTTTCACCTCTCCACTCCCCTGATCTGCTGTAAAAGAGGCTCTAGCTGTGAATCAGCCTCTGGTTTGTCCATGCTGGCAGCAGCCTTGGGGTGCAGCTCTGTCCCTGTGCCCAGGGCTCCCCCTGGGTGAACCTCCTCAATGAGGCTGCTGGCAAAGCAAGGGAATGAGTTGGAGCTGTAGCACAACTGTTGTGGGACCATTGTCCCACAACTAATCCAGCCCTGCCAAACTGCCCTTGTCTGTTCTGGTCCCTCCCTTACTAGGGATGGATAGAGGACAGTACAGGGATGATGGGCCAGTCATTTTTGGGGGGCGATGAGCAGAGCCCCTCTAAGCTGCCCAGCTGCTGGACCCCCTTCTTTGTTCTGCATTTCTGTGCCAGGTTAGGACTTTGATACATCCAACACAGAGAGCCTGTGAAACGCTTGTCTAATTTAGGTAAAATGAGTTGAAAATCCCATTTCCCAAGTGGGTTGGAGGAAGGCACCTGATTTATACCTCTGCCGCCTGCCGGGATGACTGCGTGGGGTATTCTTAGCTGTGCCGAGGAAGGGCCGCTCCTGCCGCCTGGCAGCAGCATCCCTCCCGCCAACAAGTATTTATGGAAAGTTTCAGGGAGCCTGTTGCCATTTCCAAGGGGAGTTGCTGTTGTTCTTGCAGACCGTGACTTTTAAGAGCTGCCAGTGCTGCGACGCTGCAGCTCCCACCCTGGCGAGCTCCCGGCGCATCCCGGGGCTTTGCTGCCGCTCCTGTTGCCTATTCTTAGCTCCTGGGGTTATTTGCAGCAGCGGTGACTCAGAAAACTAATTATTGTGTTGAGGTTTCTGAAGGGGGAAAAATAACTTGATGCATTGTGGTTTCCTTACTCCTACTTTAACTTTTAATGTTTAATACCCTCTGGCTCGTTGTAAAAGCTGTTGGACTTTGTGGAAGGATTCTGATAAACATTCATTTAGAAACTCATCTGTCCCTGAGGGAATGTCACCTGTGGGCTGTCCCCTCATGCTGGCAGTGGCTGGGCTGGAGTTTTGTGGAAGCCTGAGAAGGATGGAAGCTGTCCTGTGGTGGTGGCTGTGGCTCTGGCAGGGGACAGGAGGTGGGTGTGTGGTTTCTGGAGCAGCTCAGCCCCAAGGATGTGGTGCATAGGCAGTCCCCCTTGTGTCCCAAGGAGGACACACCTTCTCCAGGCATAGAAGACACCTCCTGGTCCAAACTGCTTCTGTGGGCACCACCTGTGCCTGGTGACAACAGTGACTTAAATCCCCTGGCAGGGACACATCTGGGTCCCTCCTGCCCTGCAGTTCCTGTGAGGCTGCCAGCCCCAGTTCCCCTGGTGTAAACGGGGCAAACATTTCCCACAGGGAAAGCAGAGGCTTTCCAAATACCTGGAGAAACTTCAGAGCTTGATCTGATGATGGCTGTGGGCTGTCCCAGGCAGAGAAGTGCCTGGTGGAACCTGCTGAGACTGAGGTGGCATATGGCCATCTCATTGTCTGGGTAGCAGCTGGTCAAGAAGTCTTTTACCTTGTGAAGGGCTGAAGAGGTCACCCCCAGCGCTCCATGATGAGCTGGTGGAGGAGCTGATGTTCTTGGTGGCTTGCAGAGAGGATCTGGAGCAGCTGAAGGATGATGTACTGATCACATTGACCAGAAGCTGCTCCCCTCTCGGGTGGCTGGGAGATCTCAGACTCACAGAATAGTTTCAGTTGGAAGGGACCTTAAAGACCATCCTGTTCCAATCCCCCTGCCATGGGCAAGGACACCTTCCACCAGCCCAGGTTGCTCCAAGCCCTGTCCAACCTGGCCTTGGACACTTCCAGGGATCCAGGGGCAGCCACAGCTTCTCTGGGCAACCTGTGCCAGGGCCTGCCCACCCTCACAGGGAACAATTCCTTCCCAGTATCCCATCTAACCCTGCCCTCTGGCAGTGGGAAGCCATTCCCCCTTGCCCTGTCCCTCCAGGCCCTTTTCTCAAGTCCCTCTCCAGCCCTCTTGGAGCCCCTTTAGGCACTGGAAGGGGCTCTCAGGTCTCCCTGAGAGAGAGGAGGAGCCTTTTCTTCTCCAGGTGAACATGCCCAGCTCTCTCAGCCTGTCTCCAGAGCAAAGGGGCTCCAGCCCTCATAGCATCTCCCTGGACTCTCCAGCAGCTCCTTGTCGTTCCTGTGCTGGGCCCCCAGAGCTGGAGGCAGCTCTGCAGGTGGGGTCTCACCTGAGCAGAGCAGAGGGGCAGAATCCCACCCTCACCTGCTGCCCACAGTGTGGGATGAGCCCAGGACATGACTGGTTTCTGGGTGCCAGCACATATGGCCAAGTCACATCCAATTTGTCACCCACCAGCACCTCTAAGTCCCTTTCCCCAGGGCTGCTCTCAACCCTGGTTGAACAGCATGAGGCTCACATGAGCTCACTCCTCCTGCCTGCCCAGGTCCCTCTGGATGTCTCATCCCTTCCCTCTGCTCAGTCAACTGCACCACACAGTTTGGTGTCATCCACAAACTTGCTGAGAGTTTTGGAGAGCAGAACCTCATCCTGCCTCTCCAACCCAAGTTTTTCAGAGCAGACAGGATAAAGTGAGGGGGAGGATTAACTCTGATTTTGGCCCTTGCCTGCCAGGATCTCACTCTTGCCTTCACCCTGCAGGTTTGATCTTGAAGGCTTTGCCAGGAACCCTCCACAGCTCCCTGGGCACCACCGTGGGGCTGACCCTGCCACTGTACCCACCCATGCTCTACGGTACAGCACGGACCCCCTTGCACCAGGGAGGGCTTCAAGGCCACCCCATGCTCCCTGGCTCAGAGAGGGTGACAGCTGGTGGCTTACTTGAATTCTTTGGAGAATGATCCTTTAAAATGATCAAGTTTTGCTCTTGGGGCAGTTTTTAACTCTCTCCTGCTTTCCCCAGAGCTGTCACAGCTGCCCGTGAGCCCCTGTGCTCTGCCTGCCAGCCCCCTGCCCTTTGCCCAACCCTCCGGAGTGCCCTGGGATTCCTCTGGAGCAGGACAGCCCCTGCTGACCCAGGACAGCCCCTGCTGACCCCTTATCACAGCGCTGACTGTGAGTGATGGGTGTGTGGTCCCAGACTCTTTAACTATTGAGAGAAGGAAAATGAAGTTAAATTTGGGAGAGAGGACAGTCGGAAAATAATCGTGTCTGCTGTGTCTTCAGAAAAGGCAAGTTACCTCTGGGTTGGGGTGGGTACCTGGGAAGTTCAGATGCCTTAGCTCCTGACTGACCCATTGCCTGCACCCTGTGATTTTTTGGGGACCAGTCTCTAAGCAGCAAATGCTCTCAGGAGAGGACAGGGGGGAACAGTCTTTCTACTGTCCAGTTAAAGCTGTTGTCATGTTTTAACAAAAAAAAACTAAAAGGTTTTGACTGTGTCATTGGTCATTTGGCTTTGAGCTTGCTGAAGGATGAGCTCCTCGCTGGGGGTTCCCAAAGCCAAGGCCACAGAGCAAAGGAAGCACTCTGGTGATGCCAAGCCTGGCAGCAGAATCCTTGCCTGGCTCATTCCCTGGCCTGTGGTAGCTGCTTGGGTGTTTTTCTGGGTGACCTTTCCCTGGAAGCCAAACTGGGGCTACTGGCCTCCCCTGTCCCCATGTGCCAGTTCTTGTCCCCAGCCCTGCTGTTGGGTGACATCCACATCTAGGCAGGGGAAAAGACTAGAAATTACATGGGGCAGGCTAAGAACATTTGCAGTGTCCTCCCAGCATGGAACGCTTGGGGTACAGCACAGGGACCCTGCTGTCCCCAGCCTCAGTGTGTCACCCTGAGGACCTGCCTGGTGACACTGGGTCAGCTTTGGCTCAGCAGTTCTGCAGCCTGGGAATGCCCCAGCTCGATAAGCCTGTGGACCCCCTCCTGGCCTTGCACTGGGCCAGGGCCTTGGGGACTGGAGCCCCCCATGGCCTCTTGTACCTGCCCTGTTCCCTCCTGACTGGGCACCTGGGAGGAGAAAACAGCAGGAGGCCCTGAGACATCACCAGCAGGTACCTGGCAGCTGTGGGGTTTCTGACACTATTCGATATTTAATAAACTTCTTAAATAAATAACATTAATATAATATTAAAATCTATTTACTGGATAGCGCTGAGGCAGATGCCAGGTTTCTAGGCAGAGCTGGCATGTGATGAAGCTGTGGCTGTGTGCCACAGCCCTCAGGGCCAACCCTGGTGCCCTTTGGCAGCCTGGCCCAGAGCAGGGTGGATGCACATGGGCATCCCACAGGAGGGACATCCCATGGACATCCCCCAGGAGGGACATCCCATGGACATCCCGCAGGAGGGACATCCCATTGCCCTCCCTGTGGAGCACGTGAGGGAGCCCAATGGGCTGGGTTCTGTTCAGTGCCCAGCTGGGTGTCAGCCCCTCTTCCTGTTGTTTCCCTAACTTGTATTATTATGCTTTAATGATGTGGTAAAGGGGGTGTCTGGATAATTCAGTCGTGAGCACTGGAGGATAACAGAATAGCTGAGGCTTTGCCACAGTCGTGGTGGTGATGAGGGCTGGGAGGTGAGAGCTGTGGCTGCAGTTGGAGAATCAACTCTGTCATGTCTCAGTGCCCAAAACCTCCCTGCTCAGTGTCTTCAGGGGAAGCCAGGGACCCTAAGGACCCTCTAAGAACAGGGAGTCCTCCCTGACCTCTGATTCGTCCTGGTGAGGTGCTCCGTGAGCCTCAGCCAAGCCATCCCAGAGGGACTGGGAAGCTGGGCTGGGCTCCTGAGCACTGGGATCTGGAGCTGGGTACTGTGGTAGCCCATGGTCTGCCCTGTGCCTCTGAGGCAACTAAGTCACCTGAGGCTTGCAACCTGCTCAAGGGGTCAGGTAGTGCCATACTGCTGCCCTGGCCATGCCAGGGGGGGAGAGCTGTGTGTTTCAGGGCTGCTCCATCACTTCCTTCTGCACCCAGGCGTGGCACAGATCAGAGCCCATCATGCCCAGGGGATCCATTCAGGGGTAAGGCCCCCTTGATTTCTCATTTTCTGCCTTGTGGAGCAGATGTTGTACCTCCTGAGGCACCTAAGAGACAGCAAAAGGCACAGCCATCACACAGGGATGAATGATGCCTGAGCCCCAGAACTGCAGAGAGTGCCCAGGCCAGCCACCTTCCGAGGATGGCTGGAGAAGCCACTCTATTGGGAGGCAGGTCTGAGCTAGAACTTGAGCTGCTGGAGGACTGGGATGTATATGGACAGTATGGACATATAAGGGTGCCTCCCTGCACCCTTCCTTTTCCACACTGCCTAGAGCAGGTGAGCCTCACCAGGGTGGAGGAACACTCAGAGGCTCCATGGCCCCTTGGGCAACAAAGCTATGAACTGGGGATTTACCCTCTAAATGCACCCACGTCAGTGTGCCAAGCATGGCAGCATCCCACTCTCTCCTCTCCCTTCTTGGAGTTCCTGATGGCATTTTAATGCCCTTTAATATCTCTGGACCAAAAGGCATTTTGTCCACACAAATAACACTGCACCTTGTGGCTGCTGTGCCTTGCCAGAACCTTGGCAGTCATTACTGAAATGAGTGAGTGCTGACCTCTGCCCACACCAGGGAGATGTGCTTCCCCAGGGGTAAAACAACAGTGAGCATAGATGGGGCAGAGACTCACCAAGGGCTGGGGTGACAGGCAGGACGTGAGCCAACAGTGTGTGCTGGCAGCCCAGAGAGTCAGCAGCATCCTGGGCCCATCCCACAGCGTGGGCAACAGGTCAGTGGGGGATTCTGCCCCTCCGCCTCCACTCGGGGGAGACCCCACCTGCAGAGCTGCCTCCAGCTCCGGGGCGCAAGAAGGATTTGGGGCTGTTGGAGCAAGATTGGAAGAGGCCATGGAGGTGCTGCGGGGGCTGAGAGAGCTGGGAGTGTTCACTCGGAGAAGAGAAGGATCCAGGGAGACCTTAGAGCCCTTTCCAGCGCCTGAAGGGGTTCCAGGAGAGCTGGAGGAGGACTTTGGACAAGGGGGAAGGCTTCTTACTGACAGGGGGCAGGGTTAAGTGGGATATTGGGAAGAAATTGTTATCTGTGAGGGTGGGGAGGCCCTGGCATGGGTTGCCCAGAGAAGCTGTGGCTGCCCCATCCCTGGAAGTGTTCGAGGTCAGGTTGGACAGGGCTTGGAGCAACCTGGGATAGTGGAAGGTGTCCCTGCCCATGACAAAGGGGTTAGAACAGGATGGTTTTTAAGGTCCCTTCCAATCCAAGCCATTCTGTGATTCTGTGATAACTGTCCTCGCCCTACCCACTGTGAGGGGCTCAGCACATTCACCTGACTTTGGGACAGTGCTTGGCTCTGTCCCTGCCAGCTCTGGTGGAGGGGTCCCCAGGGACACCCCGCCTGTGAGGAAGGGGACACGATATGGGGCTCGATGCAGGTGGAGGCTCCAAAGCACAGGCACCCAGCCCATCACTGCTGCTTTCAGACACCGTGCCTGATGCCCTTGGAGGTGCCACCATCTGGGACAGCCCATGGCACAGATCAGTGCCAGAGCCACCTTTTTGCTGTTCCCTTAGGCTCATTCAAGCCCCCGGGATACAGGAGGGCCACGTGTCCAGCCAGTCCTAATGCATTATTCCTTTCTGTCTCCTTTTACAGGCCTTTGCACTGAAGCCAAGTGAAGAATCTCACAATTGCACTACACACCACTTAACTTTGATTCCTCTGGCAGCAGAGCGACTCTGCCATCAAGAAGACCTCGAGGGCTGTTTTCCCCTCCCTGCACATCACTCCCATCTCCGTGCCTGGAAGCTGGTGCCCAGCAGTAGCTCTAACTCACTGTCCATCCCACTGAACCACTCCCAACCATGTTTCAGCGTCTCACCAGCCTCTTCTTCAGTGACAGCAGCACACCAGAGGGCCTAGAGGAGCCCAGACCCTTTGTTGAGGAGGAGGAGGAGGAGGATGGCTGGCTCGTAATTGATCTTGCAGGTGAGGAAAGCAGCAGGACTGGCTTCCCACAGCCTCTGCTGAACCTTGTCTTTCCAGAGCAGGGCAAACCCCTTGAGATGTCAGCAGATGAGCTCACACCACATGGGATCAGCTCTGCCCTTCATCCTTTCTCCCCTGGTCCCTTTGCCCTGCCCATGGTGCCCAGCCCTGTGGTCACCACAGCAGCCCCTGACCTTCTCCTCCTTTTTCTCCTTCATCTCCCACTGATGGTTCCTGACTTTCCATCAGTGTGGGAGCGGTGTCAGCATCCCTGGCTGGGGCTGCCACTGCCCAGGGTCTTCCAGGTTGGGACCCTGGCAGGGCACCAACCACGGAGATTATCCAGAGATTTTAGATGTGATCCTGGTGCCAGGGCTCGGTGGGGTGGAGAACCCAGCCCTTGCAGGCTCTGCCCCGCTGGCTGTGCCCTGGCCAGCACTTTTCCAGGAGGAGCCAGGCTCAGCTGCTCCGTGCTTTGCCCTTGCTGAAAGCAAACCAGGAGCTGGTGGGACACCAGAGTTGTCCCCATGAGAGGATAGGTGGTAGGGCTGTCCCAGCTGGGGATGTGCCATCAGTGATCTGGTCACGTTTGGGTCATTTGAAGGGAGCAAATCTCAGCTCCAAAGGGGTTGTATTCTCAAATCATTCCCGGTGCCCATGCCAAGCACAAGGGATGTTTGGCACCAGGTCCCTGTACCTAGAGAGCCCACAGGGCTCCCCCTTCCCAGGGATGGTGACAGCCATCCAGAGCCCTGTTTGACACCACCCAGACAGATTGAATTCCCCCTGTGTGGAGCTTCTCTAGCTCCATGGAGATCTTGGAGTTTCTGTTGGGGCATTGATGACTCAGCCAATTACAGTGATATTTTTATGACCTTTTCCTTGCAAATCCAGCAGTGACCCCTCTGGTCACAGACAAACCCGCCTGCCTGTGCAGGAGCTCCTGGTGACCGTGCTCTGTCAGCTGTGGTGCCCCAGCCTAGGGGACCAGATGTATCCTGCAGGTTTAGGAGGAGGGTTTTCTCCTCCCTCCCTCGTGCAGGCAGCAGGTCTCTGAGCAGATGTTCCCTGCCTGTCCCCACCATGCTTGTTTTTGTGATGGGAGTTGTTCATTGGAGTTCTCCCCCATATCTCCTGGAGAGGGGACCAGAGCAGGAACAAGCCTGGGATGAGGGACAGAGATCCCTGTTCCTCATGGGAGGGAGCACTACGGAGAGCTGGTGGAAGTGATGGGTGGTGTGGGCACAGGCAGATGTGGAGGGTTCCCTGTCCTCTGGGATCTCAGGTGACTGTCCAGAGTGGGTCACAGCAGTGACATGGGAGGGGGCTGGTTGCAAGGATGTCCCTGGAGCAGCGAGTGTGCAGCTGCCAGGAGCCTGGGCCAGCTGGCAGCAGCTGCAGCCTAAGGCGTGCCAGAAGGAGCCAGGAGTTTCCCCAGCCAGAGAAGCACTGGCCTGTGCCCTGATCCCTGGATCTGAGACTGCAGCTGGCTCAGAGGGGACCAAGGGTTGGCTGTGGTACGAAACACTCCCATTTTTTTCCCAGTGATGTGGCTGGGCTCGCGGTGTAGTGCTGGGTTCCAGCAGTGTCTGCTTGCGACGATCCCACTGCTAATTCCATTGCCGTCTGTTCCCACAGCAGTCCCTGAGCAGTGAGGGACCAGGTTCTTCCAGCCCTGTTTCTGAGGCTGGAGTTATGTGAAGCACCTCAAAAGCAAAATGTGGAGTCTCTAGCCCCATCCTTCCCTTTGGAGCTGTGGTGGCCAGCAGCAGCTTCCAGCCTGGCTCCCTCCCAGCAGTTTAGGGAGCCTCCAGATTTGGTCCCTCTCAGCCTGGTCGTTACCCCAAAATGCACCCACATTACACAGATCTTCCAGGAGTATTTCCAATGCTCCTCTCAGCCCCTTGCCCAGCCTGGCTCTGCTCAGCACCCAGGGAGGGAGCCAAGAGCATTTCCCAGGTTATGGCTGGGAATTTATCCCCAGGGATTTGAGGATCCCAAAAAGCTGCTTGAGACATTAAAACCCAGGCTGGCAAAGGGTGGGAACAGGGAGTCCTGGACAGGCTGCAGTGAGCCCCCTGCTCCCTGTGCCCACAGACCCCTGTTGAGGGAGTCTGGGGGGAGGGGGGGACGCTCCAGGCAGGCTTGATGGCTGTGTCCAGGCAGGCAAATAATCTACTAAACTAAGGGAGGAGCTGGAGATGGACGGAGCTGGGAATACCATGCTCATGCTCATGCACTGCATTTCTCCACGCAAGAACACATTCACCTGTGATTCCTCCTGCTACCTCACCCAAGCACAGGGTCACATGCATCCATATAGATGTTGCACTGCCTCCCCCCTCACTGACACGGGTTCCCTCGAATTCCCCTGATGAATCTGGGAATGGGTGTGGGCATTTGATGAGCCTAACATTAGGTGCAGGCTCCCCTCTCATTACATCACCAGTAATTCCAAGCACAACCAGCCCAGAAAAGCACCAGCCCAAGTGCTTTTGCCAGGTAGAGATGAGGAAGGGAAAGCATTAAAGGCTGGGGCATTGGAGGGGTGTTAGCTCCCGTATCAGCCACCCAAAATTCGGCCTCTAAGGGACTGAAGTTGAAGGCACAGCGAAAACCTTTGCTGAAGAATTTATTGCCGTGATTTCTTCCAGAGAAAAGGTGTGGACTGTTTTTCCCCTGTGTGTGTGCTTGGTTTCCATGTTTGCAAAGTGCTGGGTGGTGTTTGTGGGCACAGGCATGCCGGCGTTCCTCTGGAGCGGCACGGCTCGGCTCGGCTCGGCTCGGGTGCCGTCAGAAAAGGCAAAAGCAGCGTTTCTTGCCGGCTGAACTTCCTTCCTTTCGAGAAGGAAAAACCATTGCTGCAGTAAACCCTGCTGGTTCCCACACTTCTTGGTTCGGCTTGCCTAACCAGGCCCCTTTCCGTGCTGGAGCCGGGTCCCTCAGCAGCGGTGGGTGCCGGTTGGGGCGGGGGCGCCGCCGGCGCGTCCCTGCCCGCGGGGCCGGGCCCGTCTCTGGCGGTGGCGGTGGGGTGTGTCTTGCACTAACGATGCCCCTTTCTCTCCCCCTCCCCTCCCCACTGTACATGGTATGCGTGTGTGTCCCCGCTCGCCCCGCATGGCTCTGCACCCCCGCCCCCAGGCAGCCGTGCCCGCCCCGGCCCAGCCCGGCGAGCGGGTGCGGGCGGTACCGGGCGCTCGGCGCGGCCCCGCCCGACGCCCCCCGGTCCGCCACCGGCCGCTTCCCCGGCTCCGGCCGGTCCCTGCTTGATGGACGAGAGTTGGTTTGTCACCCCTCCCCCCTGTTTTACTGCAGAAGAGCCCGGCCCTGACGGTGTGGGGAGCAGCCCCATGGAGGACCTGCTCATCGAGCACCCCAGCATGTCCGTCTATGTCACCAGCACCCTCGAGGTGGATGGGGAGGGCCCCGAGGACGATGCTGCCGGGTGAGTGCACTTTCAGGGTGTTTGTGGGGGGCTGGCAGCCTCAGCACCTACTGAGGGACCGGGGTGGACGGTCAACCTGGCATCCCAAATCCCCTCGTACACCCGAGAGTGTGTCCCGTGGACAGAGTGGAGCAGCGGGGGACATCAGTGTCCCCATGCCCCATGTCAAGGGAGTACTCTGCACATCTGACCAGATGTCATGCAAGGCTAGCAGCCCCTGTGTCCCAAAATCGTCTGCTGAGGAGGCCTCAGCAACATGTTTGGATGGCCATGGGTGCAGGACCCATGGCTTGGCACTGGGTTGTGGCAGGAGAGGGGTGTGACCCTCTCCCCTGCCCCAGGCAGGGTCTCCTGGTGTGGCTGATGCCACCTGTGCTTGATGCCACCCGTGCTAATACCGCCTGTCACCACATCACCCATCTGGGGGGTTTGCCAGGCTGGGCTTACATTGTGGTTTTCCGTAGGTATGGCCCAAGCAAAGCAAACCCAATACAACAGGGTGGTCTTTGGGCACAGTGGACCCCTGAAGACCCCCGGGCTCCCCCAGGCAGGAATGTGCTGAAGCCCCCTGATCCCCCTTCTGGCCCCCATGCTGGCCCAGCATAGGGTTATCCCACAGCTGTGTGGGAGTGGGACATCACCAGCTTCTTGCCCCAAACTACAGCTTAGCACAGGAGGAAAATAAACAGAAATGCCCCAAATGGCCCTGCTGCCCTCTGCTCCCCAAGGCCTGGGTGCTGGAGCCCTCCCCACGCATTCCTGGGACCATGGCCTGGAGCTCTGTCCTTCCTCCAGGGCTGCCTCCACTGTGCAGGAAAACCTGAACCATGTGCCCTGCCACTGCTGGCCAAGCCCTGGCTCCCACCGTGCCAGGGGGTCCCTGCTGCCCCCCAGTCCCAGCCCTCCAGCATCTCCCCCAGAACCCCCTCACTGGAACAGGGGAAGAGTAAGAATTTGGGGTAAACTTCACCCTGGGCTAGGGGATACCATTCCTGTCAGGGGACACTGGTCCTGGCTAGGGGACATCATTCATAGTTAGGGGATGCTGTTTCTGGCTAGGAAACACCATTCCTGATTAGGGGGCACTGCTCCTGGCTTGGTGACACCATTCCTCCAGGACTTCTCTCTCCAAAGTCTCCCTGAGGGCCACAGCTTGATCTCCAGACCTTTAGGGGCTCCTCAGTGCTGGAGGGGGCAGAGAATGGCCAAAGAGGACTTGAGACTAACCAGGGGACAAAAGAGGTCACAGTGGAATGGAGGCAGACCAGGCTCAAGGGACACAGCCATGGTAGGGGGCTGTGGGAACGCCCTGTTCCTGGTGGTGTCTGGATTTGTCCAGGTGTCCCAGAGCCTGCCTGTGCTGGAGCATCCCTGCCCTCAGGAGGCTGTTGGGGCAGGAGGTGCCTGGCCAGGGCACAGCGTGTGGGGAGGGGGTTGGTGCTCTCGTCGGGGAGGGTAAGGGCAATGCCGGCCCCGCTGACAGCCCCTCTCTCTGCAGGGAGGTGCCGGAGCCGCGGCTGGAGCGGCACGTGGCGCACCACGGCCGGTCCCTGGCGGTCAAGGCGGCCATCCTGGACAAGGTGGGGCAGGCACAGCGGGTGCAGCGGGCCAAGCAGCTGGCGGAGCGGCACCGGCTGGGCCAGAAGGCGCTGCAGCGGCAGAACCGCGCCCGGCAGCGCCCGCCACGCCGCGCCAAGCAGCTCCCCGGGGCCTTCGTGCACCAGCCCTGCCAGCGCCACTGCAACTACTGACCTCGCTGCCCCGCCGAGGGGGCCCTCACCCCCTGCCGACACCGCCCCACGGGAGTGCCGGCCCCCACGGACACCGGTGACACCGGCTGCGGTTCCACTCCACGCCCCCCACACCCGCACTCCTGGCCCGCGCTCCTCATCTTCCTTCACGTGCCCTCACTGCTCCCCTCGCCCCTCGCCCTCGATGCCAGCTGGGCCAGCAACCCCTGGAGCTGCTGGCATGGAGGGCTGTGCTGATCCCCCCACCCTCACAGCCTCGCCAGCCTTCACACAGGAAATCGGTATTCCCAGGGAAATCACCTATTCCTGAAATCCATGGCGAAGCCTGTTTGTCCTGACAAGCCGGTGACAACAGTGCCTTTCCTCACAACATCATGACTCCACGTACAGCCAGGCTGGGATGTCACAGAGACACCGAGCAGAAGCAAAAAGAGCAACGAAGCCACAAGATTTGAGATTTTTAGGAAAATCTCGTCAATGACACTAAGGAATGCTTCCTCCCTGCACAACCAGCAAATACTCCTCTCCCTCCCTGATAGAAATAGTTACCTTTTTATCACGATAAGACAAACCCCCACTGCTGGTCCTGAAGGGGCTTGTGGTGGGAAGCACTGGTGGAACCTTTGTGGCCGGGTCAGCCAGGTGGCTCCTGACGCCTCACGGTGTTTTTTTAAATCAACCTTCAAAGCAATCTCAGGAATCAAATCACCGTCCCAGCGCCGTGCAGGGGCCCTTGGCCACTGTGCCGGGAGGGGTGGCCAGCCCAGGGCAGTGGTGGCATCACTGTGGCTGGTGGTCCCACCCGAGCGAGCCCCTTCCTCCTGGAGCCACTTGCCCGCCCCGGCCACACCTGTATCCCTACAGATACGCCTGTATATGTGTGTGTATATATTTCCCTCTATACCTTCATGCTTGGAAGAGGCACTGTTAAGCCAAGGAGCATCGGCTGCCTGGTGTCAGTCCCTGGGAGGGGAGTGGAGGCAGTGATCTGCACAGCTTCCCTGAGGTGGCAAAGCATGTCGATGGTGGTGGTGAAGAGATGCTGAAGAAGAGGCCGTAGGGAAGAGGCTGAAGTAAGGACAAAGATGGATCTGGGAGTGGCTGCAAAGGGTCAGGATGGGGCAAATCCAAGCGAGAGGATTGCTTTAACAGGAGCTGTAATGGGTGCATCTTCTTTCCCCACCCTACTAAAATGTGCATCCTTTCCCATGAAGGGCCAAATCCCATTGTAGAAAATGTTGATCTTTAATGCAGATCCCTCCCCGTGATGGACTTATTCCGCCTTTGGAGGAACATGGTCTAGACTTTTCACTGGCTCCAGCACCAGCTGAGATGGCTCCAAACCCAGCAGAAATTTGCTGATCATCCCTAGCTCCCTCCCTTTAGGGACAGGTTTTGCACCCTGTGCCCTTGGAAAATGTCCTGCTTGTGGCCAGCTCACAGCCTGAATCCTACCCTCTGAAAAAAGAAATACCCTTACAACCCCCCCAAAATTCTGATTTCACAGGAGTTTCTTCCATTCACTGTGTTACATCCCTTAATATTAGCCGAGGACCTCGGCTGATGGTGCTGTGGTGAGCCCATCCTCAGACAGCTGGTAGTTATTAATTCTTTCAAAGAGATTAAAAACAAACAGGTCCAGGCTCTGGGCTGGGGAGCCTGGCCCGCAGGAGCAGCTGCTGCTGCTCACCTGCAGCGTTTCTCCTCCACTCTGATGTCATCATGTTCCCAAAAGTGCAGACCTGGGAACTCGGTGTTCCCCCCCTTCCCTCGGCATTGCCCCACACTCCTCGGGCCTCGCCGCAACCTCCATCCCTCGCTGAGCCCGAGCCCACACCGGAGATTGCCCTGTCCCACCTCTGGTGTCTCCTTGGTGAAGACACTGACTCAAGGGGAACCTTTACCTCCTCTGGCTTCCTGAGCTTCACACTAAATGCCTTTTCTCCCCCCTGAAGTGATGCCTGGTGTGAACCAGGAGCATGGCACGTGCAGGGACTCTGGCACAGGTGCTTGTGATGACAAGCAGGGGCTGAGCCCTTCCTGGACGTCCTTCCCCGTCCCACTCTTCCCATGTTGCTGCATGATCCGCTCTGTGGCCACTGGGCAGTACCATTACAGGAACTGTTTTCTCTCCAGCCCAAATACACATCAAGAAGTGAAGAAGCCACACAGCATCCTGCCCCCCAGCCTGTCCTCCCTTGCAGATTCTCCTCCTGAGCATCGAAGTCACACTCCAGAAATCAGAGGCTGGTTGCGACCCCGTTACCCCTCCACAGCTCCCAGAGGAAGGGGCTGGGGAGCAGCAGTGAGCTCAGGGCACATCCTGCCACGTCTCACCTACCAGGCTTTCCTGTGCCCACTGGTCTGCATGGAAATGGTACCCCAGGAGAAATCCCTCATCGAAATCCTCCCTGTGTCCTGCTCATCTGTTGTGACCCAGAACCTCTTGGCCATGTTCCTGGGGGGCTCGGGGCAGCCGTGGCACTGAGACTGACACCCAGCCCCAGCTCCCAGGCACCCATTTCCATCAGGTGATGCTGGTTTTCAGAAGCGAATGCAAACTGTTCTTTTCCTTTCTTCTTTCCATGCCAGTCTGAGGTGTCTTTCCTTGTGCTGTGCCCAGCGAGCACAGGACATGAAGCAGAACTATTATCACACTTTATATCCAGAGGATGTTTATAAAGGATTAATAAATTATTAACAATGTTTTCATGAAGAGGTTAAACCAGAGTCCAAGCAGGCCAGCAGAGTGCATGTAGCACAGCAAACCTCTGCTCCTGTGACCCCCCTCTGTTGTTTGCACACTTGTTGTGTATTAACACCTAACACTCACCTGCCAAGCCCCTGCAAGGTGACTGTCACCCCCCAGTGTGACCCACCCTCCCTGTGCTGTGGCAAAAGGGTGTTCAACCTGTGCTTTGCAGAAGCCCTGCGATGCTCTGCCCCTGCCCAGCAGCAAGCACAGGGCCTGGCCTGATCCCAAACCTCCTGCACATTGTTGCCAGAGCAAGAAAATTCCTTTTCATTGAGGTTATTTATCTCCTCGAATCTTAAAACAAATGAAAGGTGCTTAAAAAGTGAGAACTTTGGTGTGTGCACCTGTGTGCATGTGTAGATACTTCACAGCCTGGTGTGAGTGTTCAGTAGGTTATTTTGGGGTGTGGGGTTGAGTTTTTTAGGGGTTTCTTGGTTGCTTTTTTTTTGCACCCAGTGTTTGTGATGAGTTGTGTGGTGCTCCTGATGGGAAGGTGCTCACAGGGAGCCCCTTGGGCTGGTCCTGCTGGGACAACTGGGATGATTTTGCTTTCTTTTCCTTATTTGTGTAGAGGGAAACTACAGCATGGACTCAGGGACAAACCAATCTGCTGAGGTCTTTAAAAATGTCTTTTTTCCAGGCTTCTCTGCTAGGATGTGTGGTTTGGTTTGGTCTGTGAGGGATGCTGCAGGGATGGGGCCTGTGGCAGAACATGGTGGTGAGAGGCTGCCCAGGCTGTGTCGGAGGAGCTGCAGGGTTTGGTGCTCTGACATTCCAGCATGGAAAAGAAGCTGTGGCCGCTCATGGTGGGACCATTCCTAGGCAGCAGCCCCTCTTTATTTGTTCATGTCCTGAAAACTCACCTTACAGTTGCCAGAATGAGACTTGTCCCTTTTTGGACTTGCCTGTGAACAAACAGGTACAGATTTTCAGCACTGAGCCTCCGAGGATTTGGCAAGTGCAGCAGAGCTGGGTGTTCTGGCCTGACTCCCACGACATCACTGAGATCAGGAGACAGCCAGGATGGGGGAAGCCACTGGAACGATCAGCTGGAGAAATGGTGATGTAGGTGACAGGAGGATTTGAGGGAAGAAATTTTTGTATTTCTTGCACTGAAAGCATAAAAAAAGAAATCCTGGTGGAGAGGCCTGGGCAAATCCCTGTTCAGTAAGTGCCAGCTTTTCTGGACAGCATGGCAGTGCTGGGGTTCAGACAGGGGAGGTGGGTCCAGCCACAGCAGCAGTTTTGCAGCCCCGCTCTGGAGTTGCAGTGAGGAATGGGCCCGGGCAGCTGGGAGGGCAGCGCTGGCAGTGCTGGCTGGAGCCTGTGGAGGCAGCACACCCCTACAGTGGGAAGGATCTTTCCACCACCGTTGAAGGCCCAATGGTATAGGGGTCTTCTCCAAGCAAGACTTGCATCTCAGTTGAGTTGTTTTGGTCCGGCTGCCCTGGTACTCAGCGATGGATGAACCCCGATGTGTGGCCAGGCTCCCCCAGCCAGCAGGATGGGATCGGGGTGGCCCTCCTGCAGGAGTGCCAGCTCTTGGGATGCATCAGGACACCCCCATGCCCCCCACCTTCCCATGGCTGTGCTTCGTGCACCGCTCAAGGCCAGGCTGGAGGCCAAGGCACAGCCACGGCACACGCAGGGCACTCACTGGCAGCCACGACAAAGTCCTCACCTCTGATTTTGGCTGTGGCTTGTGCTGCAAGGCTGGGGGGGCTGCCAAGGGAGTAGTGGCAAAAGTCTTCCTCACCTGTGTGAGTGCTCTGAAATCTGCACTCACAAATGCTCTTTCCAAAAACCTCTGCTGCAAAAGCTTCATCTGGGAGGAAGACAGTTGTTTTCATGGGAGTCGGCGTTTCTTTCTCATCATGGATAACATAAATGCATGGCTCATCCCAAAGACTGCTGTGGGAATTTTCTCTCTTTAGGCATGTTTCTAATCAATACTTTTACATCAAATCAATACCTTTTCCTCTTCCATCCAACCCCACTGGGGAGAAAAATACCCACTTAGATGTCTTATCATACCAGTCAGAACAAAA